CTAGGTTCACTCAACCTGGACGCGTGTGTTCGCGTGGATCCGACAGGATGCGAGGTGGTCGATCCGTCGGCGCTGTTGTCGCTCCTCACCTCTGCCTGCCGGTCACTGTATTCCCAAGGTCGTATCACGACAACCGCTCAAGCGGAGAAACTCAATGCGGAAACAATGTACATCTTGGAGAGTTGTGCGATCGAGAACCACAGAAGGGAAGTAGCGTTCGCGGTCACCATTGGCTACGAGGCATGGCGTCGACTACTCGACATGACGCTCACCAAGTGCTTCCATCGGCTGCCACACGACGGACACCAAATTTTGCTTCATGCAGTACATCAGATACTCAGCCTTCTTTGGAGAACACGGTGGCCTCCGTGATGGTCTCGCCGAAACGTTCTGGTTTTATTCACCAAACTTGCCTACCGTCGCGCTTCTCTTACCTCGAGCAGGTCTCTACCTCGCCTTGCTCCTCTCATTCTCATCTCTGAATCCGGAATACGTCGGTATGATCGAAGCTGGCTTCAATGGTCGAGACTCGACCTTCTTTCGCCCGTCTGATGGCACATTGACGGATTACGCCCGCGGCGTTCTCTTCACCAATGCTGCGTGGACAGTATGGTGTGCGCTCATCCTCTTCATTAGCTGGTAGGTCTGCTCTCATCTCGACTTGTCCCTTGTTTTACCCCATGACTGTCTAGGATCGGCCTATGGATCTCGAGCGGTCAAGGCTGCGCGCGACTTTGTGGTCCCCGTCACAGATGGGAGGAAGAAGATCACGTGAAGACCATGTCCATTTATAGTGATGGCGCTATCGAGGACGTCGATGCACTTCCCTGGACCTGGAGGACATGCACACGTCTGCGCATCCAAGAAGCATTTGACTTCTGTCTCACAGTCAAGCCGCCTGCGCGGTGGAGTATGATCACGCCCAAGAAGGAAGAAGCTGAAAGGTCCGAGTTACCTGGTGTACAGATCTTGCCAACGTTTGAAGTCGAGCAAGTGTTGGCAGCGGTGGGATTACATTTGGTCCCGGTGCCTGCACGTTGAGGTGCACTTTCGGGGAACTTGTTTGCACATCCACAGATGGGCGACGGGGCAACTGCTGGACCTTCGTCACTGCCCGAGTTGTCGGATATCATTCCCATGGTGGTCAAACGATCTTCTGGGGATCGGGAGATTGCGGGCCCTTCGGCGCCATTGATGAAGTTGCTGTACCCGTTCGGTATGGTGCGCAGGCCTCATCCAAGGATCAGATACCATTCCCACCTTCGCCTGGTTCGCAGAAAGAAAAGCGCAGGTCCCCCGAGGTCCACAAGCCTCTCTCGGTTACGACATTCTCGACGCCCGCTACAATTCACTCAAGTACAAACGACGGTATCTCTCCATCATTTACTACCAAATCGCTCGTCTAGGCTACTTTTCCCCTAACGAGGTACAAAAGTCGATCGATTGGCTCGCGGCCAATCCAAATGACACCACGACGTCTTATATCCTCGCTGCCACCCTCGCAGCATTCGACCCGGCAGAACCTCACCCCTTCACTGGCAATGTCCGCAAAAACCTCACTACAGACAAGGGCACCATCGTGTACATGAAATGACAGTGGTACGCTCACCGCATCGCAGACACCCCTGGCACAGGCAAGCTCCACCACCACCTCGGTCTCCTCAGCCGCGAAGTCGAAACCGAGTCGAGGCGTTTGTCAGGCAGGAGCTTGTCCCCGCTTCAAAACCGGACGCCTCCCTTGCTTCTCGTATATTCAACAAGATAGAGTCAATCGGAACCACCGTCACCCAGGCACAGATAGTGAGACAGAACGCCCAGAGCAACACCATCCCGCCTTCTGGTCCAGGTACGCACTTCCCTTGCCCGTCCTTCCACTTTTCACTCATGTCCCCCGAGGTTCACAACCCTCTCTCGGTTACGACATTCTCGACGCCCGCTACGACTCTCTCAAGTATGAGCGACGGTATCTCTCCATCGTTTACTACCAAACCGCTCGTCTAGGCTACTTTTCCCCTAACGAGGTACAAAAGTCGATCGATTGGCTCGCGGCCAATCCAAATGACACCACGACGTCTTACATCCTCGGCACTCGCTGCCACCCTTGCAGCATTCTACTCGGCAGAACCTCATTCCTTCCCTGGAAAAGTCCGCAAAAACCTCGCCACAGACAAGGGCGCCATTGCCTACATGAAACGACAACTCGCTCCCAATACACACAGGCAAGCTCCACCACCACCTCGGTCTCCTCAGCCGCGAAGTCGAAACCGAGGAACTACGAGCGGTCTACCATTTCGTGAAAAGGTTCGTGACCATTTTTGTCTATCCAACTGTCCCTGACCACGTCCCTTTGCTAGTATGACTGCTCTCCATTCGTTCACGACATCGCGGGAATCTATCCTTCCCATATGGTCATCGACAGCTCAATCCCGTCGGTCTCAGCCAGACGCAACAGTCTCAGAATTATCGCTCCTACTACAATCTGGAAAGAACCTGGCTTGAAGGCGACCATCCTCCTCAAGTGGACACTCTTCATGGCAGAGACTCGACATTGTGACCCTACATTGGAAAACCAACAGGGTTTCAAAACGGAATAGCTCGAATCCCAGATTTGGGATGCCATGCAGGGTGATGCCTTTACATACCTCGCTACCGCCCTCATTCAGTTCCACAAACGCACCCATACCTCACCCATAAGTTCCTTCGCGCAGTTTGTCCAACTCGTCCCTGAACAACAGCAAAAGGAGCCTCTCGCCGAGGAATTCCAGCTTCCGGTACTCAACATGTGCGATGTACTCGTCAGGTCTCTGCTCACCTATGCCAGCTCCGAGCTGCGCAAGATCAAGCAGAGGCAAGAAGACCTGCTCGCGAGCGTTCGGACGGATCGGTCGAGGGTGTTTAGGTCCGTCGCCCCTCCCAGCAGTGAAATCGAAGGTCAACCCGCACCGCGGAACGATATCGCCATGCTGTATTCTCTCATCGTCCTCTACGCGTCGCTTCCCTCTGAACGCGCGCTACAATTCTGGGGTGCAACACCCACTGGCGAGACACACGGTTTGTCGTACATGGAACTCACGTCCGCAGGCAAACTCCCGTCATTCTTGCAATGGGCTGTGTGGTCTACCCAAGTCCGGGATGTGGATATGACCATGGCATTGTACGATATGCTCTCAGGTCTTGCAAAGAGTCAACAATGTAGCGAGCTCGCATACAATTTCCTCGCTCATTGGTGGCAGGGAAGTGACACCAGGCAGTAGCCTACTCAATTCCACTGGTTCATACAATCCCGGCCCTTCAATATCATTGTCTACGATCTTTGCCCTTCTCGAGTCCCGGACCTCCCCTGCTTTAAATCCTCGCACGAACCAGCCTCCTTCCCTCGCCGCGTCGTTTGGTGGATTCGGCTCTCTTGCCACCCCTCAACCTCATCCGCCTACTCAACAACCCCCTCAACATATCCCCATCGGACCAAAGGACGTACTTCTCGCTCAATCCTTCCTCCGCCTTCTCTCCACCGTGGCAACGAGCTCCGTCGCCGTGCGTCTTGCCATCTCTTCCAACACCCAATTTCACACATCCCAACTCCGGTGTCGCTCGTTCCTCTGGGTATACCTCTTGAACTCAAGGGGGCCATCTTTGATGCGCTTGCTGCCTTTTGCGAGCCTGGAGCGGGTGTTGCGGGTGTAGATATTTGCAAGAGTGTATGGACACTGATGGAGAGAGACGTGAAGCGTACGTACCAGACAATTCCCACAGCGTCATAGAGACGACGAGAATGAGTGCGGCATCGAAGGAATCGCAGATCGTCGAGATAGGAGGCCAGCTGGGCGAGCAGGTCGAGCCACACGACGTCAAGCGCAATTGGAGGCGCCAAAACGATGTCGACGGCGTCGGAGTGGATGGGGCACAAAGGAAATCAATGGCGCAACGGGCGCACTGCGTTGCGAGCCGAAACGAGTCAGCACGAGCAGCGCTGGTGGACGACAAGCGGCGCACCCAATCCATCCGTACCACTCGGCCAACATCCCAGACTGTGTCGTCGATGGCGACTCAAACTGCGATCTGGTCGCACATTGAATGCCGCATTGCAGCCATAGTATCGGACGAGTCGAACACCTCATATGTACACCATGCGGCATGTACATACTCTATCGACATATGTTCCCTATAAGACTTGGATGAATGTAATCAAGTTGGTGGTTTGGACACCGGAAATGCCCATACTATAGCCTACATGTCAGCCTGTGATGCAATAATGCCTTGTCATTCCGAGTTACTGTATTCTGTAGTAAATGTGAGACTGTCCAAATAATCCCGTTCCACTGTGTGACTGCCACTACTTGATTGCAACGTGACAGACAATGGTTCAATGTGACCTTGCTGTGCCTTGCTGTGCAGAGACCCGGGTGGCTGTGAATTACTGTACATCATGCTATAATTGGCTGAGCGGCTGTGCAACTGAGCCAAAATCGGGGATTTGCTGATGAAGGAAGACTCGTTCCGCGCGTTTTTCAGCTTGAAGCTTCACTTGCTACACTACAGCGCCGCGACACAGTTATCATTGCCGGCACGGGGAGCGGAAAGACACTGTGTCTATTAATTCCCATGCTATTACGACTGGAAACTATCTCAATCACCATATCTCCACTCAAGCGCCTGCAGACAACTCAGGTGAGACTCCAGACTCTGTGCTCCGTGCTAATGTGAGTCTATGCGCAATCAATGTTACTATTATCCATGCACAGGTTCTGGAGTGTCAGAAGTATGCTATCAGTACGATCGCTATCAATGAGGATACTCCGGACGATGCAAAACTTTGGGAGGTATAGATTTCATGACTTTTGTGTGAACATTTAACAGATCTTGACAGACTATTCGAGCAGGAGGGTACCAACTGTTACACGTGGTAGTAGAGGTTGACCCTATCATTAGAGCCTTGTGCCGGCTGAAATGCCCACATACCAACTCTCATCATATATGCGGAGTAGTCCCTTCAAAGCAAGGGCCTGGTAGCTCAATGGTAGAGCACAGGTAGCTACAACCTGAGGCTGCAGGTTCAATCCCTGCCCGGGTCACATTTTCCCATTGAATAGTTGTCATGAGATTAAGCCAAATCTTGACACCAACATCTGATCGTTTCGCCGGAACAGCTTGGGACATACAATGGCCATCTCCCTCGACTAGCACGTCTCATCCGTCAAGATTGATCATTCAGCAAGAAGATCAGCCGCGTCCACATCGACGAAGCCCACAATGTCTATACGGCAGGCCTCCCACACCATGGTGAAGACGCGTTCCGACCAGCCTATGGCAAGTTAGGCGAGTTGCGTGTCTTTCTCCCAAAAGGCACCCCATTTCAGATGCTATCAGCAACGTTGCCCCCGCATATCCTTTCCACTATAAAGGAACAACTTATGATTTCATCGGACTATCTCGAAATCAGGCTCTCGACCAACCGCCCAAACATCACATATGCTACAATCCCACTGGTCGGCGGCCTTCGCAACTTTCAAAACCTCAACCTCTTGCTCCTGCGGGAATTTCACCCCCCCATGGCCATTCCGAAGACGCTCATCTTCCACGATTGTAAACAAGATGCGACTGATGCAGCTGCCTACCTCAACACAAGATTACCGCTCAATATTTGGAACCATGGTATCATCAAATATTACTTACCACAGTGACATGTCAGCAGAGTATCTACAGCAAACATTTGAAGATTTCTCATCGCCCAATGGTACCTGCCGCATACTGCACGCTACTGCTGGTGCATCAGTGGTAAGTAATGTTCTGTGATACATTGAGAGTTAATCTTTTTCTCGTAGGGCCTCAACATCCGAGGCGTCCTAATAGTCATACAATACGGTCTTTGTAAGAACATGGCCGAAGCAGCGCAGCGAGCGGGACGCGCAGTTCGGGACCCAGGTCTTCATGGTCTCTACCTTGCAATGGTAGAACCATGGGCACTTGGATTGACGTTAGCTGAGGACCAGCAATCTGCCAGCGATCCGGACAGGCCCTATGCAGGAATGGTGAAGAAGAATGCCTCAAAACAGGACCGCACTAGCTACGCATCCCTTCGATTCGCCCAATCTCAAACCTGTCTCCGTAAGTTCTTTGCAGAATACCTAGATGATCGGTCACTAGAAGGTCATAACAACTAATCGCGCAGCCATATCACACTGATAATAATTTCCATAGCGTTATCCTATACAGCGTTGTGGTGTTGTGACCGTCATGGTCACAATGACTTCAAGCTTCAGACATTCGTTCATGGTGAGCCATATACAGGCAACTCTCAGGTTCCGGCACCCGGAACAACAGCAAAACGCAAGCGAAATCAACTCCGTGTGGCAGCGGAGCGCCAACAGCTACTCGACACACTTAAGGCATGGCGAAAACGAACTCACGACAACGATCCTTACCGAGGTGTCTGGCCAATCGAGCAACTGATCGACAACAATGGTCTTGAACTCCTCACCAAGACCCATCCAACAGTAATCATGTCGCCATCAGATCTCACAACACTCCTCCAGGAATCTGAAGCATGGGAAGGCAACTATGGGACTGAGATTTTCGCAATCATCCAGCAATTTGACCAGGACCGACAGCGCCAAGGCAAGGCTCAACATCCGCCATCCACCTCATCGAGCGAGACACGCCCAGTTGTGAAAAGAGTCAAGGGTGGCATAACAACACCAAAAATCATGTATACGTTTACTCCTGTACAGACACCTGAGACTTTTGCCGCTATGTAAACATCATTGTTGACTCAGATTCAGAACTTGAGAGGTCGAATGAAGCCTGTGGAATCTCATCCTCCTCACCCTCGAACACTTCGCCTGCCATCATAGCTCGAACCTTTCTATTGAATGTTGCTAATGTCGAAGTCTTCAATTTCTGTGCACCAATGGCTAGGGTGTCGACCACAGGCTTGACAACGTCGCTTTCGAGCCTATTTGGCTTGAAAATATGAAGCTCGAGCTCGCTAACTTTGTATGCAACTTTATTGATGGCCGGTAAGGCGTTGGGTGTGGTATGGCCAATTCCTTGATACGCGATACCGAGTCCATGGCCAACTTGCTTGCGAACAGTTTGTAAAAGGTCAACTGCTGCAGATATGTCACCCAAATGATCCCAAGTGGCGTATACTCCTTTCGCAGCAAAGAAACGCTACCAGTAGTACATGATGAATGATGAGGCTGTTGGTCGCTTGACTCAGACTGAGTCTTACCTTGAGAAACCTGATGAGGTGTTCTATATTCAGGTCAATAGGCATGCAGTGGCCTTCGATGCCGGTCAAGTTGACCAACATGTTGTCACGCATGATGTCCCTGCCATACACATTATACTGTCGATTATGTCAGTTACCAGACTCGGAATGAACTCCACTTACGCAAACTCAGGTGTCCACACCTTTTTGATGTTGTAGAGGAAATGAAGGATTTCGGAGCAGTAATTGTTTGAGCCAGCGCCGTGGAAGATCATCGCAAGGTTCCCCAGAACATCTTCAATCCGACCAAAGTCTCCCTCTGATGTTGCGTGAACAAGCTCTAGGACATATAAGAGATCACGAGTAAAGAGACGGAAGTTCCGATGAGCATTGTCGGTATCGAGCGCTGTGGTGGTGGTGTGATTGAGAATGATTTGGTCAGCAATCCTGACCAGTTCGTCCGGTGATGGATTTGACGAAGCGAATGCGCCAAGTGAGGTGTGCCCACATTCGGCCTTCCAGGCATTCAGGATGATTCCTCGTAGAATTTGAAGAAGTGTAGCCAACAGCGTGTGATAATCGGGATGTTCACAGCCAAGGCGGGTGCGGTCGAGAAGAGCAAAGAAGTAAGAGAGACTCCCGACTTGATGAATCAAGCCCCGATGGACGTGCAGAAGTGCCCAGATCAGGTTCATGCAGAGATGGAACAGGCCAAACCCAAGTTGAATGACTTGAAGTCGAGTAAACGGATTGATGTCCTTCGTTCGAAGAGCCTTTGCACCACGTATGCGGGCATTCATAGCCTGATCGTTGATGCTCGGGATTGCTAGATCCACCAGTTGTTCGTGCGTCATCTTCAGTTGATTTATGTAGACATCGTTAATGACTGCGATGTTGCTGGAAACCGAGCTCTCGTTGATAGTTGAAGTGTGGAGGGGGTACTGTTTGGTCTGATAACCTGTTGGCATCTTTCGGCGCTCAGGATGAAGAAGAGCCGGCGGTTTCTCGTAGTTCTCGAAGTGTTTGCAACAATCGAGTAGAATGTCGATGATATGGACACGAAGTTGGCTGTGATATGACTTCATCTGGTCTCGGCTTGGTAGAACATCACGGCTGAAGAGAAGGTCTGAGGCTTGCTGTGCGCGTGCAAGTATGGGCGATAGGTGCATATGAGCAGGATCACCATTTCGCACTTCATAAAGAATGGCGAATGTTCCCGATTGGACTTTTGCAGGCGCAGATGCTCGTTGTTCAACAAAGATCGACGTGCTAATATTGATGTTGTCGTAGCACATGACATGAGGGCCATGTGCGAATCGAGCAGCCTGGTCAAGCACTTGTGCAGCGAGATTGTTGATGAGTTTGGTGAGAGAAGAGAACGAGATGCAAAGGCCACATTTGTGCAATGCCTCAATGGTTTGGCGGGAGGCTCCGTTTGTCCAGAGGAAGAACGTGAATGGTGCCGCAAAGTAGATAGTTAGTTGCGAGTGCTCTTTCGCGAGCTGCGTGATGATAACATTACATGCCTTTAAAAGATCAATATATTGTTTCGTGTATACTAAGACAGGATCGGCGTATGGTGCTACAAGACTTGATTTTATTCTTTTGTTTGGCATGGTCCGTCTCTGCAGCAGTCCGAAGAATGTGACCAGTAATGGGAGCCTTCGTGTCGACCAAGGACCCGATAAATGTGTTGATGTCCCATGTACGAAGGCTGTCTGGAGTGATTGTACCAACAGTCCCTCCGAGTGTCTTCTTGATGACGTCCATCTCATCGGAGACCTTTTGTGACACAAGATCGACCGCATGAGGCTCCATCCAATGTAGAAGATGCGTGCGGCCCTGTTCGGTTTCAAACAAGAGATCAAGCATCTTGATCAGCTTTCCCGACGGATTGGCAAGGAAGAGTCTTCGATACGCTGTGAAATCTTGTTTTGACGAGTCAAGAATGTGTAGTACACAGTCCAGAAGCGATAGCCGGCCTCCGCGAAGAACTTGAAGAGCATTTCGAATGTATTCGTCACGAGTACATTGCGTCAGTGCAGTGTTGCCTGCTGCATCATCAAGGTCCATCTGGTGATCGGAATCCATGGTAAAGGCCAGTACTCGAGTCTTGGAAGCCCTGGGGAATAGTGTGAACTTGATGCCGCCAGATGATGGATGTGAGGGAACGATCGAGTCGAGCAAGACTTATCAGGTTGGCTTATCATTTAGGCTGGGGACTTATCATGGACGCGCCAACTTATCCTACATACACGTGACTACAGAAAGGTCAAAAATGGACCTTTCAGTCAGCTGACGGTGAGAAGCCGTGCCTCACGCCAAATTCAAGCCCAGATTTACCAGACCGTCTATCAACGGTTTGCCTTGCACATGCCTCTTTTAGACGGGCTGGTCACCAGACTACCTAGTAGTAAGCTTTGTATGGCACCATGTGCAACTCTGGAAAAAATTACTTATCTCGGAAAATTTACAATGCTGTGCCCCCCGGGTATGGCGATGCCGCCGGCCCAGGTCACGTGACTTGGGATTCCTTCTGTTTCGGGCGAGATCTGACACTGCCACACCCCAGACGCGCAGAGAGAGAATGAGGACAACGACAACGACGACGCAACTCAGATGCACGGCGCGGCAAACGAGCGTGACATTCAGCATTCAGAGGACAGCATCGAGCGGGTAAAGTACACTATGTGACACGCACCCCCCCGACGATGGGAAAATCATCAGTGGAACGTTTGGGAGCGAAATACTAGCTCGGGAAGAGGTGTTGGTACGGTAACGGCGAGTCAAAGACATGGATACTATACAATGCCGTGCTTCCGACGGCACGAAGAGCTTGGAGGAACTTGAACCAAGACAGAC